TTCCGGAATACTTTCAAAAATTAAATTGAAAATATCTTAGTAACAATACGCATGTTTAAAGTTTTGACCCCCATTGTTAAATGTGCTGATACATGCATTTTTCGAAAAGTTATAGCATTTATAATTTGAAAATTAGAAATCGAAAATCGAAAATTTTAACACAAAAATAGTGTTTTTTTAACTACGGCAACCGTTTACATGCAGAAGATAAAGTGTCGGGACAAATTTTTTTTTTTCATTTTATAGTACATAAAATAAGCTTTAATTTGATATATGTTTAAAGGACGCAGTATTTCCGGAACATTTTCAAAAATTAAGTTGAAAAAGTTAGTTTTTGTAAAAAAGTTGCNAAATTTTTAAATTTTTAAGGGTAATGTCTTCAACTAGATACAATTTGTGATCTTTTGACGTATTGTTAAAAGAAATCGGTCCAGTGAGAGCTGAGAAAAAGTAGTGACAGACACAAAAAAAAAAAATAAAAAAATAAACACATCATGGTAAAATTAATACCTTCTCAGCTTCGCATCGAAGCTAAAATATGTCGAATGAAAGATGTATACATATAGTACTTCTCGTGAAAAAATTGTATTGATCCATACATTTTCCAAAAAGTTAATTTGATACGATTTATGATCTCTTGACTTATTGTTGAAAGAAATAGTAGTAACAGTCACAAAAAAAAAAAAACACATTATAGTAAAACTAATACCCTCTCAGCTTTGCCTCGAAGCTAAAATTAGTATACGAACAATAGTAAGAATACTAATTTTTTTGAAACCACGGTAAATATATATAATTTGTTTGTAAATATATTTTTTTTAATGATTAGTACAAATATATATCTAGGAATAAATTGATCACAATCTATAAGCCTCAATGACATTTTGATAGCCCTCTGTTTGAAATTTGATTCGATTAGAATTATATAGATTCATAGATCACTTTTTGTTCATTTACACGAGAATGATCTAATTATATATTCGTAAATTTGATTAAGATAGATTATTCATTTTTTATTAGTTTGTAATGTATTTATTTAAAAATTGAGATTTTTGAAGGAAATTGAACTCCGCCATCAAATTTATTCTAAATTGCAATACTTTTTTTTTTACAAATTTTATTACTTCATCGAAAAATACTGTAAAATAAGCCATACATATTTACATTATCACTTAGCAATTTATAGATATGTTTACCGGCTACAATATATTTACAGAGAATTATGTACATTTATGCATAATATATATATATAGTTGAAACATTTTATCTTTGTTGAATTTTTACTTCAAATATAATAACACGAAAAAATAGGAAAAAAATATAAATTTTTATTTTATGTACTTTTTAGGAGTCCAAAAGTAACTATAAAAAAATAATAAATAAACAGAGGAAATCGAAAATAATAATTTTTTTTAATTTCTAACTATTAATAATAATTAAACACATTTTACAAAAATTAAGTACACCCTAAACTTTGTTTATCAACAAACATTTTTAATGATTTAAGTCTTAAAGATTTAAAATCCTCTCCCCATTCTAATAAGGTTCAAGTTTTGAAAACATTAAGCAATATTACCAATTACTTTGATGGATGTGAAATACAATTAATCTATAATCAGGTTGACTACGCTATTTCAAGATTTATAAAATTATATTCTATAATACTCTATGTTGTATTGATTTAGTGATATAAGTTGCATTAGAGTACATGGATAACCACATGCAAGACGATATTTGAAATTCATTTGATTTTGACTATTCATTTTATAAATTTAATATCTTACGATTATAACACTTCTAATTTAATTAGTACACTTGTGAGCTATACAAATTCATTCTAGTTATTTTTAAATTCCTTATACACATTAAAAACATTTTTTTTTACTTAAAATTTCATAAAATTACCATTAATTTAAAAAATGAATCGAAAATCATGTATAATTTCAGATTTTTTGACTTTAATTGAGGTTAGTTTGATTTTACATATAATAAGGCATAAATTTTATTGAAATCGCACCAAAGCTGATCAAACAATATCAATAACGAGAGAATATAAAACGACATTGCAACACGAAGACGGCTCAATCAAGATAAATAAAAAATATAAAATATACACGTATTCAAAAATGAAGGGGTACCTTTTTATTATGTTACAAATTATTTTAATTTTTGGGTTTATAACCGATATTATTTTGGCATATAATGATGGTATAATAAACCAAAATTTTGCTGATAAATATAGGCTTCTCAATCATTCATTATTTGAAAATGATATACCAGTGTATAAGTATCAATGCTTACGTACTGGGATTACTATTGTATTTGGTGACATTGATGGTCCAGTTGTAAATGGATACTTCACTTTGGGTAAATTAATTTTACAAAATATTTTTTACGCATAAAAATTATTTATTTTATGTAATGTTTAGCCACAGAAACTCATGATGATGATGGTATTCCACACACATTAGAACATTTAATATTTCTTGGATCGGAAGATTATCCTTACAAAGGAGTTCTTAATTTATTATCAAATCGTTTTCTTGCTTCAGGAACCAATGCTTATACTGGTAATTTATCAAAAATTATTACAAATGTGGTCTTAAGTCTTATGATTAATATATTATTTTATAGCTGTGGATCATACTTGCTATACAGTCAGCACAGCTGGGAGTGAAGGATTTCTATCAGTGCTTCCAATTTATCTTGATCACATTTTATATCCTACATTAACTGTAATTTTTTTATTTACACTTTATTATAAATTGTCAGTAAATATAATATAATGTAAATATAATGTAAATTTTAGGATTCTAATTTTATCACACAAGTTCACCATATAACATCCGATGGTAAAGATGCTGGTGTTGTTTATTGTGAAATACAAGCATTAGAAAATACTGCCGAAAAAATTGTACATCAATCATTTCTTAAAAAAGTATATCCTGGTAAATGTGGCTACAAATCAGTACACGGAGGCATTATGAAAAATTTACGAGAGTCAACTACTATTGAAAAAGTTTAAAGATTATTACTAAATTTGTGCATAATATAATAAATAATAGTTAAGTATTTCTAATAAAATTAATTTGATAGATTCGTAGATACCATCAAGCATATTACCGGCCTGAAAATCTGTTACTTCTAGTAACTGGAAAAGTTGAACATTCTTCTTTATTTAATAGTCTAGAATCAGTTATTCAAAAAATTTTATCAAAAGTAATGAAATTCATATTTAATTTTATTATTAATGAAGATTTAATTTTAAANTTTTATGTTTTATTTTATTATTAATGAAGATTTAATTTTAAATATTTAAAATAAAGGGAAGCCGTGGAGAATATGTAAAACCTTGGCAAAACCCTGTAGATCCTTTAATGGAATCTTCAAATAATGTAGAACTATTTCCATGCGATGAAGAAACCAATGGTTATATCAATATCGGTTGGAGAGGCCCAGTTGGGTCAACTTTTTCATACAAGTATTTGATATATTTAATATTATGTATAATATCATACAGTTTGTTATATCCAAATATAACATAACTTTTGATTCAGTTATCAAATAATTGTAATCTATTTTTAAACAATTTTCGTATTATTATATTATATTAAAATAATTTTTATTGTTTGTCTCTAATATAAATATAAATAAATTAAGTACGACAGGGATACAGCAAATTGGGGATATAGAATTTTTTAAATATGTGTAGATTGATATCTGAGGGTGATGAAAATCACTATCTTAAAATGCTTCAAGGACATTTGATAAGTACAAAAAAAAAATATTTATGTACTAGTTTCCTAATACAAAAATTGTTACATTATTATTTATCGAGAAAGGTAACGACATCGAATTGTGGAGTCGCTACCCTCATGGTCATCATAAGATAAAGAAAATTTGAGTTACCCACCACTTAATGGAGGGACTTGAATATAAAAAAAACGCCTAACATTAAGTGGATTTTAAAAATTTTTAATTAAAAAAAAACTATTTATTTTGTTAACGATTTTTAGCATACGAAACTGAAATAATATTGATTTTACCATGATATGTTTTTTTTTTATTTTGTGTCACTATTTTTTCTCAGCTCTCATTAGACCGATTATTCTCAAAGATACATCAAAATATCACAAATTGTATCTAGTTACATTACCCTTAAAAATTGAAAATTTTTCCCTCATTTCCAGTATATGATGGAAATTCCACATAAAATTACGATTTTGACATTTTTTTCATTTATTTTCTGTAAAAATTGCTATAACTTATTGAAAAATAATTTTTTTATTGAAGCCTAAAGTAAGTATAGCCTATTTTATGTACTAAAAGTTCAAAAAAAAATTTTACCGATGACTTATTATCTGTATGCAAATGGCAGTCGAAGTAGATAAAAAAAATATCTAGTCGAAGACATTACCCTTCAAAATTGAAAAAATTTCCCTCGTTCCCCGTAAATGGGGGAAACCTCCAAAAAAATTACAAATTTAAAAATCGCTAATTTTCGAAATTTTTTCAATTTTTTTTACTAAAAAATGCCGTAACTTTTTTAAAAATGACCGAATCAATAAAAATTTTTTTTTTATAGATACCTTAGATAATTACCTATCATTTTATATATTTTTTATATAGATGCTTGATGTCTTTACTTATCAGTTGGTATATTTTTTTTGTAAATTCAACCTTTTTTCTGCCCACAGGGGGGGATTTAAAATGACAACTTTTTCACAAAAAATTAACTTTTTCAACTTAACTTTTGAAAATGTTCCGGAAGGTCTGACACTTTTATATATATCTTAAATTAAAGCTAATGTAATATACTTTAATTTGAAAAAAAAAAATTTGACCTCTGGACTTGTCTTCATGGTGAAAACGGCTACCGAATGCTATTTTTGTGTGAAAATTTTCGATTTTATTATTTATATTATATTTAACTTTATAATGCTATAACTTATTGAAAAGTTTATGGATCCACACAATTTTTTTATGAGAAATAATATTTTTTAATAAACCTTTTTTCATTCGACATACTTTATCTTAATCGAGATATTAATAAGGAACCAGCAGATCAAGTAGCTTTTGGAATAAAACACCAATTTTTTTAAAATTAAACACTATCTAAAAATTCGCATCGAAGCGTTTATTTTTGATAGTGATTTTAATCACTGTCAGATATCATTATACTTGATCCAACTATGCCACGTCACCACTGTGCCGCGACCCCCCTGTGCTGGGTTTTTTTTCACTTATTTTCTGTAAAAATTGCTATAACTTATTGAAAAATAAACAAATCAAAATAATTTTTTTTATTGAAGCCTAAAGTAAGTATAGCCTATTTTATGTACTAAAAGTTCAAAAAAAAATTTTACCGATGACTTATTATCTGTATGCAAATGGCAGTCGAAGTAGATAAAAAAAATAAGAGTTATTTTTGCTTTTAAAATAATCCACCAATTTCTTAAAATTAAACACTATATACAGATTTTCATCGAAGCGTTTCTTAGGATAGTAATTATAATCACTGTCAGATATCATCTAAACTTGTCTCAATTATGCAATGTCCATACGGTGCCACGACCTCACTTTGCTACCGTTTTTTATTTTCAGTATGACTGTTCACAAAAATAATTTTTTTTTAATGTTCCATCACTATGACGAAACTACTAATGTGATAAAAATTCTATAAACAGTTCTACATTCAGTTTCAAGTCGCTTAAGTATCGGTCAGATTACTTTTTGAAATTGTAAATCTTTCAACGCAAAACTTTATTTTGAAAAAATGAATATTTTCAAAAATTTAACCTGTAAATAAGGGTCGAAAATATCATTACTCACTTAAGTGATATGATAAGATAATTTTGATCGCACCAGTTAGTTTCGTCGTACAAATTAAACAAAAACGTGTTGGTTTTGACGAAAAGTAGTTGTAACTAGACGCCTTAACGCATTTTAATGATACATAAATTACAAAAAAAAAATTACAACGAAATGTTACTTGTACCAAAAGTTATAGAAGTTTGTATATAAATTTATATACTTGAATTTGAAATATTACGTCTAATTAAAGGATCATGTAAACAATAAGGATCACTCTCTGTTTGAATAAAATAAAAATACATTTTATTAAATATTAATTTTTCCTTTTTTAATAGGTATATGGCTTGTAAATTGCTTTTAAATTATTTAACTCGTTATATAATTTCATTCGAGTGTGTTCAAATATATGATCCATTATGTAGCTCGGTAAAAAATAATACAGATTTTTATATTGTTTAATCAATTGTTCTTAGTAAATTATTGTTCATTTATTTCTAGGTGACTTTCAATATTAGCGATAATTTAAATCCATTTATAGTTCTTATATTTCAAAATGTACCAATTAAAAAATTAAATGAAGAACAAATACCATTAAAATTAAATAAAATATTTCAAAAGCTCATTCGTGATGATAATTATTTTAACCTAGAAAGACTGATATCATCTATTAAAAAGTATAAGCTACAAAATAATCATAATCCTACTTTATCAACATTAATAATTAAAGACTTTTTGTATGGAAAGAGTCAATCAGATGTAAGTAAAATTTAATAATGTTAAAGAAACATTACAAAATAAAATTTATAATGACTGCATAAATTTAGTTTGACGAAATAATGAACAGAAATAGAATTATTAAACAACTACTTAGTGAAGATATCGTGTTTTGGAAAAATATTTTAAGAGATTATTTATTAAATGATTACAAAGTAATTGTCAAAGGAATTCCATCTATACAAAAACAACATGAGTTAGCTAATGAAGAAATACAAAGAGTATTACAACGAAAAAAAGATTTAGGAGATGATGGTTTAAAATTAAAAGCTATTGAACTACTGAATGCTAAAACAGAATGTGAAGTAATATAATAATAATCAAATAATAAATATTTTTATAATAGTTATCATTTATATTCTAATAATCATAATTAGGAATAATAAATAATTGTAAGTCAAAACTTGTAACAAATAATGTTTGTGCAAAAAAATTGAGTTTGTAAATCATATGTTTATTTTTTAGTTTCATAATCCCTACTATTTACTACATACGACATCTCACAAATAATTTTTGATTTAATAGTATTATTTAAAACACTTACCGGGGCATGGAAAGACTCTGTGGATCGCTGATTTTCAACAGCACTGTTTATTGTTAATTTCTGGAAAAGTGACCATACAGGATCTTTAACAGTGTCTTACACCTTGTCCTGTTTCTGGTTCAATCAGCCAGAATGAGGTTTCATCAGGTCGACAGCCGGTTCGAATAATTCTGTCAAATTATTAAGGTAGTGCCGGCTGCAAATAGTTGAGATAGAGATTATGGAGATAATAATAATTGATGGCACCTTGTATATTTATATATTATAAAAACTTTGAAAAATGTTCTAAAATTAACTCAATTATTCAGTTTTTTGTATAAATCAATGATTTTAAAGCTTTAATTAATTTATTGATTCATACATTTCAGAAAAAACCCCCCAATGAAATGTATACGTCATTTAAAATCCCTAACGTTGAATTCGCACAGTTTTTAACTCATGATTCTTTTTCATCAAATTCATTAAATCAACACAATTTATTCAAAACTTCTGAAGTTCCATTGTTTGTTGAAATTGATAATGTTAAAAGTAATTTTATTTATGTAAGTAAACAAATTATGCATATATTTTATTTACTTGTAACACCTACTAAAAGTATAATTTTACAATAATTCCTTTCAGATGAGAGCATTTATAAACACTAAAGATTTGCCGTTGAATCTTAGAAAATACTTACCCATTTTTCTTGACTTAATAATGAATAGTCCTGTAATACAAACAGATGAAAATTATGCAAAATTAGAAAATGATGTTGTTTCATGGAAAGCATCTATTGGGATCGAGTCAACATCTTCGTTTTCTTGTGATCATTTTTCCTCTGTTGTACTCATAAAAATTACTGTATGATAACATCTCATTAATTATCCACATGTTTTTAATTTAAAAAACATTAAACTGTTTTCTATATATTTATCAAAAAAAAATATTATCAAATTTCCGGATTTGTTCAGAATTAATTTTATTTGGATATCTTACCTCTGACAAACTTTTATCATTTATTGTATATTTTAATGTCAGAGAGGGTTTACATTATTTTTTAATTAAAAAAAAAAAAGAAATTAATTTTCTATTTATTCATCATAATATATATATTAAGTTTTTATTTAATTATGTATTTTGTTATACTTATACTTACTTACTTGTAAGTATAATAAACTAAACCCATATTTAAAACGATTTATGAAATCTTTTAATTCAATCACATTCCCGATTGTGTAGATAAAGTTTTTTGTTTTACATAATATAATCGAACAATTTTTATAATTTTACTATACAATAATTAATCAATTATTAATTTAATTTGAAATATAAAATTTAAATAATTAAACTATTTAACTATAAATGCATATTAAAGATTTTAATTAAATAGGTCGAATTAGAAGACTATCATAAATGCATCAAGTGGCTTCATAATTTACTTTATAATACAGTCATTATTAAAAAAAAATTTTCTTATAATTTGTCAAAAAAAATAAATGAAGTTTCTAATTATCGTAGAAATGGAAAATATATGTTAAATCAAATTTTTATAAATATGACGTACAAGCCAGGTAACTATTGATATAGATTTAAAAAAATAGTAGAATCATTAAATATTTACAAAATAGAATATGTATTATGTATAGAGTGATTAACTTATTATGAACCAATTATTTAATGGAAAAAATAAAACAAATAATTACTAATTTTTTTTTTTTTTGGTTTCTATTAGATAAATGTTTTTCTGAATTTATCAATCATAAAAAAATTGTATGTTTTGTTTTTATTAACAATTTAAAGTAACTTCTGAGGAGTGAAGAGTGGGAGCTAATATTTTTAACACGCTTATATTAGTTTCACATGTATGTTTGTTGTAAGTTGTGAGTTGTTTGTAACTTTCCACGCGCAAGTGTCTACGGCCTTGAAACTAGATGGTTGTTACGCATTTACCCCACCCCCCTCACAAATCGTCGACAACAATATTTTCCAACCTGTAGGCTCGCGCGTTTCATCAATTATATATATATATATATATATATCAGCCGTCGACCTACTATGAGTATTTGACTGATCAACACAGCGCGATATACGCCGCGGTGCAAAATCCAGCAAGTGCTCCACAGTCGACGACGTTCCGCCGCAAATTATACTGTAGTCTTCTTCCTGTTGTCAAAGTGACAACGTCGACGAACCCAACTGCACTCGCGCACCGTCGCCATCAGCGCTGCTAACCTTTTGACGCCCGAGGATCATGCCGGACATCGCGTCGTCGACGCCAGCGACAGTGCCGCGATATTATGCGAAGATCATATATTCCTACCGCCACCACTAATATTAATATATATATATATATTCATATGTTAATATTCATTTATATATCCCTATACCAGCCGCCGTATATACCTCGTGTATAACGTTCCCCCCGCCACGCCCGACCACAAAACACTGCTATACCTCGTACATGATATGTTTACGTACTTAAGTCGCTTTACATGTATATATATATATAAATAATGATACGGTAATAACGATATTATATATATATATATATATATATATATATTAATTACTATTAAAACTTATAAATTAATACGCTTTATTCTCATTAAGAGATATATAGTGTATTTATTCCGAATACGGGGAATGATTCCCGTATCGTTATTTTTCATCTCTACCTCCACGTTGCGCGCCTGTTGCTTTCCTTGGATGTGGTAGCCGTTTTTCAGACTCCCTCTCCGGAATCGAACCCTGATTCCCCTTTACCCGTTACAACCATGATATTGATATTAACTACTGTCATAACATGAAACTAAAAAGTGAAAAATAAATATAGTTTAAAAAAACTAAAAAACACGCTTTTAAAGCACATCGAACTAAAAAGTTAAAAATAATTTTTAAAATTAACTTAAAACAATAATGAACGAAAAATACTNTTAAAAAGTTAAAAATAAGCGTCGGGTGCTCAATATACGAAAAATATGGCACAAAGCACCCACGCTTTTTTTTACAATAATAGCAGTATTTTTCGTTCATTATTGTTTAAAGTTAATTTTAAAAATTACTTTTTAACTTTTTTGTTCGTTGTGCTTTAAAAGCGTGTTTTTTGGTTTTTTTATATATATTTACTATATTTATTATAACTAGCCATTTCCCAGCTGTACTTCTTTTCATACTTACATAGAAATAATTCAAGAACTAACGAAAGACTGGTCCAAAATTTATTATTGACCAGTCATTTTCTTAATTAAATCATTATCCATTCAGTAAACTAGTTAATTAGGGGTGTTGTTTTTAAAAAACTTAAGTTATCATTTATATAAGGTATAAGGGATGAAAATAAAAAAAACTTTGGAATTAAAAAATTGAAAGAAACACTATAAGGAACTACTAAAAAAATGATGAATAATATTATTTTACGACTACTTAAGTGGTTCATGATAAATGAATCACTCTGTATATAAATATAAAGTGTAATTAGTATTTTTTTTATTGAAGCAAAGCTGATTTGATTGGATTGACGCGATTCCGGGGAACCGTGATGTACTAATTACCCACCCCGCGACACCCTTTGCACATTCACTGCACAATAGTGATATGTAAATAAACTCGTCGTTGCTCCTTTGTCACGACGAATTTAATGCTACTACTTGTCGTTGTTACTCTAAAATAAAATATATGGCAACTGACAAAAAAATACTAATGTCTATAACAGTAGCTGTTATAAGCTGTACTGACTATAGCAATCCGTGCAGTAAAGTGTCTAAATCAATTATGCAATTTATTTATTTTTTTACGCTTTATCAGTCCATTAAGAGCCTTAGTGGCCTCCCCCCAAAGAAAGAGGTTTCTTAACCAATTATACTCCGTAGCGGGTGGTAAGTCCGACGCCGGAGAGAAGGATGGCGATTTTAATTACCGAACTTATCTGTCGTTCGGCAAATGAAAAAAATTAATCAGTTACCACTTTTCTTGTTACTTGTCTAANGCTGACCGTGACCGAGTTTCGAATCGTAAGAAAAAGCGTCAAGCACTGCCACACCGTCCCTCAAATTTATTTTACTATGGAAAATCGAATAACTTATGTTTTGACCATGGAAAAAAATTAATCAGTTACCACTTTTCTTGTTACTTGTCTAATTAATGATAATATTGATTCCATCAAATTTGTATACTTATAAATGTATAGACTGGTAACCTTAAACTTTTTACACATATTATNTAAATGTATAGACTGGTAACCTTAAACTTTTTACACATATTATGTTGAAGTATCGTTGACACTAGTTGTTATTGCGACATTTAGGTGATATATGATATATTATGTGATGAAAACTGTATTATAAAAACGAAAGTAATAATATTGTCATCACGAGGCGTAAATTCATGCAGTTGATGGAAGTCAAGGTTTATTATGATAATTGATACACGGAAGGTTGAATAATTAATAATATGTTATATTAGAATATAATAAAAATATACAGGCTGTAACAGAAAATACTGCACTCGTTTTTGTGAGGAAGTTATAAATGCATCGCCGGACCGGTTCGTGTCACTCAGTGTCGCGTGAGCTGTCGGACGAGGAGAGGCAGTTGTGTCGCAATCGCCATCCAGCGATAAAACAGGAGCACTTCCTGTAGCTGTTATAAGCTGTACTGACTATAGCAATCAGTACAGTAAAGTGTTTATATCAAATATGCAATTTATTTATTCATTTTTTTACGCATTAGCAGTCCATTAAGGGCCATAGCGGCCTCCCCCAAAGAAGGTTTCTTAATCAATTATACTCCGTGGCGGGTGGTTAGTCCGTCGTCGGAGAGAGGAATGGCGATTTCAATTACCGAACTCATCTGTCGTTCGTCAAATGAAGCTGCCCGTGACCGAGTTTCGAATCGTAGGCAAACGTGTCAAACATTGCCACACCGTCCCTCAAATTTATTTTACTATGGAAAATCGAATAACTTATGTTTTGACCAAGGATAAAAATTAATGAGTTACCACTTTTCTTGTTACTTGTCTAATTAATGATAACATTGATTCCATCAAATTCGTATACTTATAACTGAATAGACTGGGGATCTTAAACTTTTTATACATATTGACATATTGTCGTTTCGTTATACACGATGCCCCGAGACTCGTGCCACCTTTATCAGCCGTCGCCTTATTATGAGTTTTTGACTGACCAAAACCGCACGTTATACGCCGCGGTGCCAAGTCCAGCAAGTGCCGCACGGCCGACGACGTCCCGCCGCAAATTATACGGCAGTCTTCTTCCCGTCGTGAGAGTGACAATATTGACGAACCGTTCCGCACCCGCATACCGTCGCCTACAACGCTGCTAACCATTTGGCGTCCAAGGATCACGCCGGACATCGCGTCGTCGACGCCAGCGAAAATGCCGCGTATTATACGAAGATTATTATTATTGTGTTCACCTTTTCGGTTTGTTTTATTTATTTTTTTTTTTTAAATAACCTGTTGTTGCTATATATATAATTAATAATATGCTATATTAGAATAGAATAAAAATATACAGGCTGTAATAGAAAATTTAACTCGTTTTTGTGAGGAAGTGAAAGTTATAAATGCATCGCCGGGCCGGTTCGTGTCACTCGGCGTCGCGTGACCTGTCGGACGAGGAGAGGCAGTTGTGTCGCAATCGCCATCCAGCGGTAAAACAGGAAGTGCAGTGCGACACGACACTGTATGTTAAAAACCATATATCATCCTTAGGGGTGAATGATATAGCAGCTTGAAAAAATCACGTCAAGTATTATATTTTTTTAACTACGTTAAAAACTGAATAGATATTGGTTTTGTGATGAGTATTTTTTTTCATGTTTGTCCATTAAAGTTCTCAGATTTTACTGCACCGATTTTAATGATCAATACGCCAAAAGAACCCGATTTTAATCTTGTTGAATCAATACAAAATATTTAGTAGAATATAAGTTATTAGATTTATCAAAACATCGTGAAACACTCCGTATTTTGTGATTCAAATAGATTTTTTTAAAGCTAGCCAGTTGATTTTTATTTTTTAATACATTTTATTTTTATTTATTACATATGTCTCTTCATTTATCTGTTATAAAATAATTAATAACCTCCCTTATAACTTATAAGGGCGTTAACTTTGAATTATCTTTAATACGAAACTGAAAACATTCATTTTGTGATGGTGTGTGTGTTTTTTTTTTTTTGTCAGTCCATGATAATTCTCAGCTCTGACTGGACCAATTTTAATGTTCAATACGTAAAAGGAACTCGATCTCAATCCATAATAACCAATTCTTTGCAAAAATTTGAAAAACCCGCTCAATTTTAGAAGTTTTAAAGCTAAAATATTCAAATTTTTAGATTATAAAACTTTGAAAAAGATATTTTCACACCTTAAATCAGACTTCAACAACAATTAATAAAAGCAACCAATAAGGAAG